ATTAGTTTTGAGGTAAGATTTTTCTACAAATACTTTTTTGCAAAACTTCCTGATTTTCTAACATATTCTGCCAATTTTTCTAATACTTTATCTTTATTACTAATATTTGCAATCTGAATTACTTCAGTATTTATCTTATTAGCCCATACTATAAAATCAAGATCTTCTCCATGGTTATATAAAAAATTCACCCAGCAATTTCTTGCAGCTTGTAAAATATCTTCATATAATTCAGTTAGAATATATAAATTGTTATAGACTTATTTTTCATTTTTTGTAATATTTTATATACTAAAAAAAGATATGGTTCATCTCCTTCTAACTGTTTTATAAAAAAATAAATGGCTTTAAAAAATTATAGAGGTTTTTAAGGTATATCCAAAAGGTGTAATCTATTATAATAGCTTTAATATTTTTATTAATTTTAACACTATTTTCAGCTACTGCAGCATATATCATAGCTTGAGTTTATAGAATATAATAAAGACACTCAAAAGTTGATATCTATCTAGTATTGATGGTTAATGTAAGTGCAATTTCAGTATTGTAAATTTCTTTCTACAAATGATTAAGAATTCTTTAGAAATTTGGTGATTATAAGAATATAAAACTAATTTTTTAGTTTTTTTTAGAATTTATAATACTTATTAATTCTTTAAAATATCTTTAACCCAAAGGTTAATTCCATGTACCTAACATCAGTGTTGGCACTTGGACTATGTCCAATAAAAATTTTATTTGGACTTGGACAAATATGGACATGGACTAGTCCAAATAGTGTCCATGTCCATATTTTCTTTTTACCAAATTTTTCAGGATATTTCAGTCCTTTACCCTTATTCTTCCAGAATATTTCAGAGTAGCAAGCCCATGTGTTTGATTTGAACTAAGTGCCTTATGTCCAATAGAAAATTATAGAAAATATAGACATAGTTCATAAATGTCTATGTCCAATAGTCCATATTGTCCATGTCCATATTTTGCCAACACTACCCAACATCCAAGAAACATCTTATTTAGATTTTTATTTTTTAATATATTTTATGCAACATTTATATTGTTTGTGTTATTTTTTATTTTTTATTTTTTTATTAATATAATGTCATAGTAGAAACTTTGTTACAATAAACTTATATTAATCTAAAGATTAATGGTCTTCCTGTTACTAAAAAGACTTGGGTAGGGGGGCAGATAAGTCACCTGACCAGGCTGCCAAATTCCTTCAACTCAGTACTAGCTAATAATAAGAAGATATAGTTTTAGAAGATTTTCTATGATAAAGATTTCTAGCTACATTTGTGCTACAGAGCACCCAATGTGACATTACACCTCC